TTTGAAATATTAGGCGGGAAATTTCCCGCTTTTTTGAATGGATGGAGAGACTTAGTGTCGGTTTTAACCGACGCTAGTGTCATTAAAGCGACGCTATGTGAATTTCAAAAAGTGTGTCAGAAGTTGGCGTCGGTTAAAAGCGACGCTAGTGTCATTAAAGCGACGCTATGTGAATTTCAAAAAGTGTGTCAGAAGTTGGCGTCGGTTAAAAGCGACGCTAGTTTCATTAAAGCGACGCTAGTTTCATTAAAGCGACGCAAGTTTCATTAAAGCGACGCTATGTGAATTTCAAAAAGTGTCAGAAGTTTGTGTCGGTTTAAAGCGACGCTAGTTTCATTAAAGCGACGCGAGTTTCATTAAAGCGACACTATGTGAATTTCAAAAAAAGTGTCAGACGTTTGCGTCGGTTTTAACGGACGCAAACTAAGTACCCATATTTAAACCCCTCTCTTTCCCATTTCAACCGTGCTTTCATTTCTCCCCCAATTTCAGACTTTCTTCTTCTCCTTCCCCATTTCATCTGTGCGTCCCCTTCTTCCTCCTTTTCATTTTTTCCTCAACTCCTTCCCCGTTTGCTTTGGATCACCAGTTTGAAGATCAACATTCTGAAGAACTCCAATTCGAGGAGGAAGAGCTTGAAGGTGGTTCATTTTTAAATTATTATGATTATTAATTTTAGTTTCTATTTTGTATTCTAAATAGTTTTATGCTTAAATTGAAAATTTATTTTTGTTTCTTGGTTTTTAATTATTTTTTTTGTATTTATGCATGTTGGATCTAAAGAGCAAGGACACTGGAAATCACAGATCCATAATTTTTAAAGGTATAAAACCTGAGTTTAATCTATAGATTAGAGCCTTAATGTTGAAGTAGTAAAGTATTGGAGCACTGATCTGATGGCAAGCATGGCAGCATGGAGTTGCTAGTATTATATATGGCACTATGGAGCTACAAAATATGTGGTCTTCGACAAAGGCAAGCACAGGAAAGCATGGAGGATGAATTTTTGTAAATTATATGGAATGTTAGATGTAAAACATTTGTATATTATGGCACTATTTTTCTTTTGAATTATTTTTATTATTGTTTGTTTTGGCCTAAAATTGAAATTTATTATTTCGATTATATAATTTTTTTGAGTTATAATTATTTGAGAACGAATACAAAAACAGATTTCGACTTTTTTTTTAATTATTATTATCAAAGGTGGTGTCGCTTTAAATCGTCACTAGTTTGCATATTTTATTTATTTAATTGTTCTCTAACGTCGCTTTAAACCGTCACTAGTTTGCATATTTTATTTAGTTAATTGTTGACTAGCGTCGCTTTAAACCGACGTTAACATCAGCGTCGCTTTAAACCGACGCTGCGTAGTGGCGGATTAAGCGAATAAAGCGACGCTGAAGCCCTTTAGTGACGGTAGCAATGGCGTCGCTATTCCAATCCGACATTGCAGTGTTTTATGTCGGATTTTTGCCAAATTTCCGACAGAAATCGGGGTTTCTTGTCGGTTTTTGGTCCGTCGGTGATAGCCTATATTGTAGTAGTGTTTAGAAGAACCCAGATTGAAAAAACAATGAAAGCCTTTGAACGTTGGTTGTAGAAGATCATTCTCCAAATCCTTCAATTCTGTAGTGTAGTAACGGGAGTGTGGTGATAAGGTGTTGGAGGCCTATTTTACTAGAGAGAGAGAGAGAGAGAGAGAGAGAGAGAGAGAGAGAGAGAGAGAGAGAGAGAGAGAGAGAGAGAGAGAGAGAGAGGATGGGCACGCCTACATTGATATGACTGAGGCCTATTTTTGCTTTGAACATATGCACATAACATAAAGGATAATTAGATCCCATGCTATTTGGGTAAGTAGGATGGGCACGCCTACATTGATATGATTGAGGGAGCCAAAGTGCATGCAAGCTAATCTCTAAATGGTCACTCACGCAATGTAGACACAGGGAAGCATATATGATTGAATATATGTATATAAGTAGAAATTAGGCATTTGTCAAGCGTACATTTGAAGAAAGAGTACAAAGTCGCTCCCCACTAACACATGAAATGTCAAATCCATCGATTTAGGAAAGGATCGTGTTTTAGGTAGGTGAAAGAGTGTAGTGGGATTTTGTGGCCTGAGATTTTTCAGTATCTTCTAAAAGCGTGATTCTTGTTGTAATTGCTAGCTTGGAAAGCAAAGTCAATTACGACTGTCTGAGAAACCTTGATACGCGTTCGCCTCTATTAATTCTTATTCTTCTGTTAATTTGTTAGTTATTTAACCAATGACAAGGATTCAATGACTGTTATTTGAGAATTGATGACAAGCCATGCCAACTGAATTGTTAAGTAGTTGGCATGGCCCGAGTACAATTCGACCCATTACGTACAGTTATGCATAATTGCTTTCTTATTTGGTAAGCATACGAATTATGATAACTTTTCTATTATTTTTTAGGGTTTACGATTGCGTTATTGTTTGTTAGTGATTCTCTTCGTATAAGAGGAAAGTCTGGCAAAATTATGTAATCTTCTTGACAAATATGTAGAGCTGTTATTGCAAAGGGCAATTTACCACAATGGTGGAAAACATTCAGGTCTATGCATCTTGGTGCAAGTTCGATTCCCACCCACTCCTCTTCCCCCTAACAATTAACTTCTAACCTGCTAACGCTATCGCCCAACTAAAAAAAAATGTTGAGCTGTTATTTATTTTGAATCAATGAACTGAAAATCAAAATTAGCAATGGGGTTGTATTATACAATGAAAATTGTTGGTGTTTGGTTGTTTTTCAAGAATGGAGGTTGATTGGCCTTTTTGATCAATTTGCTTGTATGTTCAATTGCATGCCCACAAATTAGTTGATTTTGCTTCGTCTGTCATCTTTACAGTCAAAGTGAGTTGAACTGCCTTTACACCCAAGTTAATTAGTTGATTCCGTGGTCTGATAATAATCTACTTATATTAAAGGATAAACCATCACATTAATCAAGTATTCGGCATAAATAATCTAAGTACACCATCACATTAATCAGTTGGATTTAAAAATTATGCCAACAGTGGTGTTCATAATCTATATCTTTTTTTTTTCTTTTTTTCAAAACAATTGCATGGCTAGAATTCCCAGGGGGTATATATAAGGTGTCGTATATTTTCTTCGTGGGCCGGTAATGCTAAGGAAACCAAAATTTTAAACTAAATTTATAAATCAAATGATGTGGTTGTTGATGATTGAATTATTAGTTTTGATTAACATGTTTATTCTCTATTGGTGGCACATCATTTGATTTGCAAATTCGGTTTAAAATTTTAGTTTCCCTACCATTACGCTTTGCTCATTGTGATTCGTAACTAACATTAATAGGACCAACCATTATCTCTCAAGTGAAAATGTTTCTTAAGAAGGCATATGTAAAACACATTCACCACAAATTAATTCACTAAAACTACAATGGGAAATTCATGCACTCATTGTGGCATTCATATATCGGTCCAGCACAGAATTGGAGTGTGAGTGCATCTTATTGGCATGGTCCCATTTATCTAAGTATATCTGTACTCAACAGCAAGGAATTGCATGAGGACAAGAACAAGAACAAGACATCACCCACATTAGCACCACCGCCACACCTACCACCAACACCAATGGTACTAGAATATTAATGTCAACAATGTTGGGTAGTGCCCTTAGCTTTCTGATGCCTATATGTAGAGACCTCACCTTCACCTTGTGTACTCAGAAAGTATTTGGTTTCTCAAGTTATACTTCACTCACAAGTCTCAATCAACACATTACACTTATATTGTCACATTGATCTCAAGAACGATCTTAACCAACCCACATTACGTTTTTGAAGTTTGAGTATGGCCAGCACTAGGGTCATTCGTGCTGCGTTCTTGGTTTTGCTCCTTGTGGAGCTCTCCTTTGCTGCTAGATCACCAAAGGCCATTAGGGGTATCGGTGGTGGCGGCGGCGGTGGAGGTGGTGGAGGGGGCGGTTCAGCTTCTGGGTTCGGGTCTGGGCATGGTTTGGGACATGGGTATGGGAGTGGGTCAGAGTATGGTACTGAAGGCGGAAGCGGAGGCGGTGGAGGTGAAGGAGGGGGTGGTGGCGGTGGATATGGTGAAAAAGGTGGTTATGGGTCTGGATATGGGTCCGGTGGTGGCTCTGGTTATGGGTCTGGTGGTGGCAAAGGAGGAGGTGGAGGTGGAGGTGGGGGAGGCGGTGGTGGTGGAGGTGGTGGAGGCTCGAGTGGAGGAAGTGGGTCAGGTTATGGATCCGGTTATGGAAGTGGAAGTGGCTACGGTAGTGGAGGTGGTAAAGGCGGCGGTGGTGGCAGTGGCAGTGGAGGTGGTGGTGGCGGTGGAGGTGGCCATGGTGGTGGCGGTGGAGGCGGCCATGGTGGTGGTAGTGGCTCTGGTTACGGATCGGGTTATGGGTCCGGATATGGTAAAGGAGGTGGAGGTGGAGGTGATTCACCATGAACATGATCATATTAATTACAAGAATTATTCCATTATTAAATAGCTTATCACCTTTGCCCGTTCGTAGCTAAAATAACATGCTCAGTTTGACCATCACTTGTGCATACGTGGTGGTGGATGTTGCATACGTGCATGTCACTGTTCAATATTGAACAACATGGTATTTCATAGTTACTCTTACCATAATATTAATAAAAAGCTAAATTTCTTTTGATAAACTCTATAGACCGGATTCTACTTATCTTGAATATTACTGTTGTTTAAGAATAATACTACATTTGGCCGGGTGAATAGGCTGTCTTAGGCCTTCCTTTTTAACGCATTACGTCTCAAGTGAAAATATTATTTGTCTTTAAACAAAATTCTCTAAAACATATGATATCCAAGCAAACAATGTTACACAAGAAAAAGTATGACAAATGGTTTTATAACATTGAGATACATAATGTCACACTGCATATGTTTTAAGAACCAAAATGCTGAGTCAACTAACAGACACGTTTTGTTAGGTTTTAAGACCATTTGATTCTTTGATGCATTGCAAAACCGAATAAATCAATCACTAGTTTGTGCACATTCTTCGATGCATGGTTAAATCAAATAAATCAATGGAACCGGATCCCCTCTTGAACTTAGGAGGTTGAGTCTCCTGAGCAAATCACATGGGCCGTTGAGATTTGATCTAACAGCTGCAATTATTATAATTTTTAGAGGGCCCCCTGTTTGTAGCCGTTGGATCAAATCTCAACGACTTGTGTGATTTGCTCAGGAGGCTCAACCTCATAAGCTCAGTAGGGGATTCAATTCCTATATCGATCACTAGTTTGTGCACCTTCTTCACTAGATAGACACTAGAAAAACTTGCATGTTACGAGGTCAATTTTTGTCTCGACCTAACTCTTACCCTATAGCTTGAATAATTAAGAACTAGCCTTCATGCATGCGCTTATGTGCATGCATAAGACATTTTTTGAACCACAGCGTGTTACGCTCGACTTACATGTTTTAAATGTATTTATATGTGTTGATTGCTTCAATAATTTTTTATGACAAAAAGAAAGTCAAATATTTGAAGTAAATGAATAATATTTGAATATGCTAGAAGAAACCTCTCATAAACCAATCAAAGCAACTGAATTCACATAATAAAATCGGTCTTTCAATTTCCATCTACATTCCTGAATTTACATTAAGAATAGAGAATTATATTATTACTAAACCATTGTGAAGCTAAACCCACCACCCTCCCCCTTACTTTAGAAAACATTGTTTGTTAAAAAAAAAAAAAAAAAAAAAAAACGATCATTTGACAACTAATTGAATTACATTATTATGCGCGTGCGAAAATGCCGTTTTTTATAATTGGCACTACATGCCTCTTAAGTGTTTAAAAATAGAGAAAATAACATAATTGATTAAATCACATTATTGTATGGGTGTGGAAGACCATTTTTATCACTGGTGGTACGCAACTCTTAAGATGTTTTGAACGTGTCTAAAAATAGAGAAAATAATATTTGATAAACAACTTATTGAATCACATTATTGCTAACCCAATGTGAGGCTAAGCTCAACCCCTTCTCCTTAGTGTAGATAATATCATTTGTTCGGAAAAAAAAAAATCATTTGACAACTAATCGAATCACATTATTATGCGCATGTGAAAAACCCGTTTTATAACCAGCACTACGCGCCTCATAAAATGTTTTGAACGTATTTAAAAATAAAGAAAATAATATTTAATAAATAACTAATTAAATCATATTATTGCTAGCCCATTGTGAGGCTAAGCACACTCTCTCTTCCTTAGTGTGTATAATATCGTTTGTTCGAAAAACAAAACAATCATTTGATAACTAATTGAATTACATTATTATGTGCGTGCAAAATACCTTTTTTTTATAACCAGAACTACGCGCATCTTAAGATATTTTGATTGTGTTTAAAAATATAGAAAATAAAATTTAATAAACAACTGATTGAATCACATTATTACTAACCTATTATGAGATACTAATTACAAAATAAATTAAAAAAAAAACTATACAAAAAGAAGTAATTATTAAAATAAAAAAAAACAATATTTATATGAAGAAAATACTCCTATATTATTTAATGCATTATTTTAGATTGCTTTTAGACATTTTTGTTTGGAATGAATTTCTATCCACTTTTTTTTGGTGAGCTTGTGACGCCCAAAAACCCTCTTCACAACAGTATTGGCTTTATATATAGAGATAATTTGCTGGTAAATCCAAAACATAAAAATGAACAAGACCGCGCTTGACGCTGGTAAACGAATTTATTAATTTCTTTTTTTTATTTTTTTATTTTTTTTTTATTTTTTTTTATTCTGTACGTTTTAGTAAACACATAGGAAGTTAAGAATTAGAATATTAATTGATTTCAGTTCTCCCAAAGAGGGGGTAACCATAGCCAACGAGAGTTGATTGAGTTGGTGATAATCGTTCTCTTTGCTAGACTAAGGCTTAGGTTTGAGTTCCGTTACCAGCAATCATTCTTAATGGACAATTTGTAAAAACAAAAACTAAAAAAGATACATTTATAAGTCCTCAAAGAGATTTGTGGTATACCATGACCGCCTCCACTCCCCCTAAATTTTTTTTCACCCAAAGGAAAATAAAGAGTGGTTAACCATACCAACAACATTTTGACCTAGTCCTAATACTTACAATCGAAGGTTCCTTGCCGAGTCCCAATTATTTAAAGAAATAAAATTACAGCATTCCCGAATGGTCAAACCAAGTACGAAAATCACATGAGCCCATGTAAAAAAAATGCATAAATCGGGGTCGACGACAAGCAATATCACTAAGAGCAACTCCACCCCTATCCACTTTGCGCCAGCACCCAGCCCATTTATCCACTTAATTGAACAGTAACAGACTCAATGAACAGTAATAGGCCAAAGCATCTCCACTCCAAAAAAAAATGTGCTGGCACCTAGTCTAAAAATACGCTGGCACAAACGATCTCCACCCCTACAAAATGCGCTGGCGCCCAGTCCATTTAAAATATTAAATAATTTTTTTATAAAATAATAAAAAAATAGTTTTAATTTCGGATATGATTTTTAACCAATCTCGTCACGCCACGTGTCATTATCCGAACGTACTATTTTTTGAATAGATTTCCGCTAAGATTTTCAACCAATCCCGACAACCCACGTGTCACTTCCTGTTTACAATAATTTAGGCAAGATTTCGATAAGATTTTTAACCAATCTCGTCACGCCACGTGTCATTATCCGAACGTACTATTTTTTGAATAGATTTCCGCTAAGATTTTCAACCAATCACGTAGTGCCACGTGGCATTGTCCAGAACCTCATCTTCTTTTTTTTTGTCCATATAAACCCTACATCCCTACATCCATCCTCACACTAAACTCAATCCATTTTTTTAGCTCAGAATTCTTCTTTATCATTTTCAAATCTTGAGTTCTTACAATGTCTTCTTCAAGGAGAGCGTATAAACAGTTGCAAGAGCAGCAGAAAAGGTTGTTGGCACAACAGGAAGAATTGGTCAATCTTGACCAAGGTGGAGGTGGAGATGAGGCCTTCGCAATGGAGGAGGATGACGATGATCACCATAGAAGGCGGAGGGCCTCACATTCCCGCCGTATCATGCAAGCTATGGGTTAGATAGTCAAACCCGGACGTGCGGCAAACATCGATAGAAGAAGGGAAAGACGAGGTAAAGATCTCTTGGAAGATTATTTTATTCCCAACAGCGTTTACCCTGATCATGTTTTTAGACGTCGTTTTAGAATGCAACGAAGTTTGTTCGCTAAAATCATGAGTGATGTTTGCAACCATGATCCATATTTTGTGCAAAAAGAGGATGCTTTTCATGTTCTAGGTCTTCTTCCTGAGCAAAAAATTACGGCTGCCTTGCGAATGCTTGCATATGGAGCATCCGCAGATCAAGTGGATGAGATCGCAAGGATGGGAAAAACAACAGTTCTGGAGTCCCTGATGCGGTTTTGCTCTGTAATTGAAGCCCTCTACACCAATGAGTACCTTCGGCAACCCACGCCAAGGGACATGTGAAGGCTTCTTAGGAAGGCTGAGATGCGAGGCTTCCCTGGCATGATTGGAAGCATCGACTGCATGCACTGGACATGGAAAAACTGTCCAAGTGCGTGGCAAGGAGCTTATGGCGACAGAAAAGGAGCCAAAAGCATCATTCTGGAAGCGGTGGCTTCTTTTGATACATGGATTTGGCATGCTTTTTTTGGTGTTCCAGGAGCTCAGAATGACCTAAATGTCCTTGCCCAATCTCCAGTGTTTGACGAACTGCTACAAGGGCGTGGGCCGAGATGCACATATTGGGTTAATGGTACTAAATACGAGGGACCATACTACCTTGCAGATGGTATTTACCCAAGGTGGTCAACATTTGTCAAAACAGTGCCACACCCGCAGAGTGAAAAAGAGAAACACTTTGCAAAGTGTCAAGAAGGGTGTAGGAAGGATGTCGAGCGTTGTTTTGGTATCCTGCAAGCTCGTTGGGCCATTGTCAGGGCTGCAGCTAGAATGTTTGATGTCGAGGCTCTTCGATCCATCATGATGACGTGTATTATTCTCCACAACATGATTGTTGAAGACGAGTATGATTATGATGCCGTCGATGAATACGAGCCGGATCCGATGAACAACTATGCTCATGACCGGACCGAAGATCCCGTGCAACACGAGCCGTTGGAACGGGATGGACGTTACAATGAATTGATCGTTCAACGATACACTTCATTGCAAGAGCCATACTGGCACATATCCCGCCAGAATGACTTGATTGAGCATCAGTGGAGCTTGCACGAAGGCGAAGATAATTAAAATAAGGCTTGTGGTTGAAGAATAAAGTGTATTGTTTTTTTAAGTAATCTTATTTAGTGTGTTTGCTTTTTTTTTTTTTTAAGTTTAAATGGTGAGGTTATGTAATTTTAAGTTTAAATGGTGTTTTAAGTTTTAAATGGTGTTTTATGTAATTTTATTTGGTGTTTTAAGTTTAAATGGTTTTTTTTAAGTTTAAATGGTGAGGTTATGTAATTTTAATTTTAAATTAAATAAAGTTCTAAAAGTAAATAAGAAATTACATAACAAATTAAATAAAGTTCTAAAAATAAATAAGAAATTACATAAGAAATTAAATAAAGTTCTAAAATAAATAAGAAATTACATAAGAAATTAAATAAAGTCTGTGGAGTTAGGATATGTGGTGCTAGGATCTTGGTTGCTAGGATTTCTGTAGCTGGAACCCCCTTGACTTGTTTCGGCATCTCTTGCACGCCTCCTTCGCACGACATCTCTTTTTTCTGATGTCCAAAAATATTTTGAATTCGGAGACAGTCCTACTAGAGACTTGTTCATAGTGTCACGATCTGTTTGAGCTATCCTTTCTTCTCTAAGCATCTCATTCTCTCGATGAAGTGCTTCTCTAATCATCTCGTTCTCTCGATTAACTATTTCTCTTTGTCTCTCAGCCGCCGCATCACGAGCCTCAG